TGGGTCACACTCTTTGATGCACTGGGGTTACTCCTGGTTCATGCACTCAGGAATAACTCAGGGGACCACATGGGATGCTGGGAATCGAACCTGGGCCTGCCGCATGCGAGGCAAACGCCCTACCCATTGTACTATTGCTCCAGCCTCTATTTTGTTTGTTATTGGAAAAATTAATGTGCTACAATCCCTTTCCTATCATGTGAATAGGATTCAAAAATCAAATGCCATGGCACACATAAAACTCAAAGTGCTTTGTAAGCAAAGGGAGCTATATTATCGCTATATATGTACAGCACTACCATATCACTTTGATATTTATCCAAGATTACTTCTTTTAAAAAAGAAAATGTTATTTGGCTTATTTACTTTTATCACTGCGTAAGATGAATTTGTTACCCTCACACTCCTTAGCAAATAAGAGCATCAGAGCCCTGCTACCAGAAAGACTTTCTGCATGAGTTGAAACTTTTTATGATTCTGTTTTTAAATCAGGGACTTTCCATAAAAGAAGGGTGCATCAGGGAGAATCAAGAGCCACAAGAGAAAACTCTTTTAATATTTTGAGTATGCGTAATTTATTAAGATATTAATGCTATTTCTCTTGTGTCCCTCACATCAATTCCATGAAGATGGGTAACAGGAACATGGAAAGAGACTCATGGCCGACCAACAAATAAGTCAGCATCCACATCCCTGTAAGAGATAGCACCTTCATGCACAAGAGGTTAGTTGATCACTCAGGATGTGCAATGATCATTTTCCCCTCTAGGAGCCCAGAGCCAATTGATCCTTTTATTTTTGTCAACAACACTTCCTTTTTGTTCCTCTCCCTCCAACTAGGAAGTGCCTCACTGACACAGACACAATATACCTTTTCATAAGGAAGGCAAATGAATATGTGCCAGATGGGCTGAGAGGATTACAACATGTTTCCTGCCCCCATGGTGACTCAATGGGGCTGGTATGAGAACTTATCTTATTCAAGAAGTCAGCTAACTAAGCAGAATCATGAGTCACAGTTCCTGGGTAAAAACTCAATTTCCAAAGCATTTGGGCTGGGGGTGGAGGGGCTTCTTGGATGGATTACACTAAAGGCCATTCAGACAAACAATATTCCCAAGGCTGCTGGGGAGGCATCAGTGCCCACTGACTTGGCTTATCTCTCAAAAAGATTAACCCAATCACCTCTCCATGTTCCCTCAAGGTGAGAGAAAGCATAAAGCAACATTGATAAATTACTGGTAAGAACCCAAGCAAGCACAATGTCATCTGCTTCAACCTCTTTGGAAAACAATAGGAACACTTTTCAAAAGACTAAGAATTGAGTTTCTATGTGACCCAGCAACGCCACTGTTTTGCAACTATCCCAAAGACTCAAAAACCCTATTTTGAAAAATAGAAAACAGAAAAACATTTGAAAAACATTTACACTCATTGCAGCCAAAACATGGTAATAACCCAAATGTCCAATAACAGATGACTAGATAAAGAAATTGGAATATATATATGTATATATATATATATATAGGGATACTGCTCAGCTGTTAAAAAAGATAAAATCATGCAATTTGTTGCTACATTAATGGATGGGAGAGGATCATGCTGAGTGAAGTTAGTCAAAAGGAGGACAGATACGAAACAATCTCTCATATATCATGGGATATAAAAACAATCTCTCATATATCATGGGATATAAAAACAATCTCTCATATATCATGGGATATAAAAAAAGTAATGGAATAACAAATTTCTAAAGGCAACAGAAAATTAAAACCGGTCTACAGAGCTGAGTTGAGCTTCCCATGGGAGATAAATGAGAGAAATATGGTGGGAGTGTGGTGGGGACACTGAGACAATAGTGGAGGGAAGCTGACACTCTAGGGAAGGGTGCGGGGTTGAGACACTGCATACATGAAATCCTGCACTGAACAATCTTATAAATCACAGTGTCTCAAACAAAATTATCTTTAACATTTTTAAAATAAAGTTTACTTTTCATGAAAATAAAAAGAATCCAGGGGCAGCACAGCAGGTAAGGTTTTTGTCTTGCAAACGACCTACTACTCCAGTGCAAGATAAACATAAAGCATCCCTTATGGTCCCCTGAGCACTGCCAGGAGTAATTCCTGAGTGCATGAGCCAGGAGTAACCCCTGTGCATCACTGGGTTTGACCCAAAAAGAGAAAAAAAAAAGAAAGAAAGATTCCAAACAAGTTCTATTTTAAAACTTGATGGTTTAGAAATGGGAATTTTTAATCTCAGTTTTTTGTTTGCTTGTTTGGGGGCCACACTCAGCTGTGCTCAGGGCTTATACCTGGTTGTGCTCCGAGAACTATATATGGTGCCCAGGATTGAACATGGGCTGGCTGCATGAAAGACAAGCACCTTACCCACTATACTATCTCTCCCACCCTAGATATGACTATTTTAAAATTCATTACACACACACACACACACACACACACACACACACACACACACGCACGCACGCACGCACAGTTCTTTGGATAACAAACAGAGGGGAAAAAGTCCCTGCCATCAGGTGGTTTAAATAGAGAAACAGAGAGGGAGAGAGAAAAGGATGGTAGGAGAGGAATACAGAGGGTAGTGGAGATGAGAATGAAGCAGAAAGGAGAAAAAGTTACCCTGGGGGTAACAATCCATGTCATGAAGATAAGTAAAGTAGGATAAAGGGAGAGTGGTAAGGCTATTTCAGTCACCATTGCAGAGGAAGGCCTCTGTACGCAGATAACATTCAAACACAGAATTAAATCCTAAAAGAACAAATTATCATGAGGAATTAAGTCCAACATACTCAAAAATCGAGGCATCGTTGATCAGCTCAGTTAAGTAGAACACTCAATCACATAGGGGAGAAACTGCACTAAACTTAGAGTAAAACCAAGTATCGGCTATATTCCTGCTGAATCATTCCAGGCTGTCAGTCTTTTCTTTGTGAAGATCCAAAGGCCAACAAGATGTGATGTTATCTCTGTCTTTAAACTTTGTGCTGTACACTGTTCTAGTTACGCCACCCCCTTTTTCAGTACTACTTGCTATTTCAATAAAATGCTTTAAATAGCATAGAAAAACCTAAACAATGCTATAAAAAATAATCAAAACTGTAAGAGGGATCAAATATAGGACATATATTAGAGAACGATAATCACACTGAAATTATCACTAATTTAAACATTTCTAAAGACCACTCACATATCAGAGGAATTAAAGCAATGATATTAAAAGCATGAGACCAGATCTTCAAGGAATAAAAGCGTTTTTTTGTTTTCTTTTTTTATTAGTGAAACACCATGAGGTACAGTTATAGACTTATAAATTTTTGTACTTGGGTTTCAGTTATACAATGATCAAGTACCCATCCCTCCACCAGTGCCCATCCTCCACCACCACGGGTCCCAGCATCCCACCCACCCCCCCATCCCCCGTCCCACCCTGCCTCTGTGGCAGGGCATTCCCCCTTGTTCTCTCTCTCTTCTTTTGGTTACTGTGTTTTGCAAGAGAGGCACTGAGTGGCAATCATGTTTGGTCTATAGACTACTTTCAGCATGCTTCTCACACCCTGGGAGGATTCTCACAACATCCTTTATTTGGTGCTCTCTTCTCTATCTGAGCTTCCTTTTCCTCTAGCACGTGTGACTGGCCTCCAAGTCATGGAGTAAAATTCCTGGTACTAATCTCAGCAAGGAATGGAAGCGTTTTTACCTGGAAGTGTTTTTAAATGGAACTCCCTAGGATATCTGTATAAAGCATCATAAAAAACTTTCTAAGAATTTGTTCAGTCCAGTGTTGGAAAGGTAATACAGTGGGTAGGGAGTTTGCTTTGCTTTTGGCAATGAAATTCAATCTCTGGCACCCAGATGGTCCCCTGAGACCAAATAGGAGTGATCCCTGAAGACAGAGCCAGCAATAACCTTCAGCATTTTCAGTGTTGCTCCCACCCTCCCCAGACAGAATCTGATCAATCCAAAAATATAATTGGCTGTATTTTGATCATCACTAACTAGAGGTTTTAAACAGTAATTTAAAAAAACAGTAATTTTAAACATCACTAACTAGAATGGTTTTAAACAGTAATTCTGGATATAAGAAGAGGCCTAAAAAAGATCAACTTTAAAGTCTCTCATAAACCTGGTTTCACATGATCACAGTCAGCCATGTCTGAGTTGGGTTATTCTTTCATTATAGTTTTGCCTGATTCCCCTTTTGAAAATAACATGCAAAGAAAGAATATGTTTAATGATGGACTCTTCCTTTTTCATCTAGAAGCAGTATCACAAATTCATTATTATTTGTTTTTATAAGCACTCTAAGTATTGTGTGTGTGCGTGTACACACATTCATACATAAACACACACACACACACACACACACAGCTTTCTCTATTCTTCGCTAAAGTTTGGAAGACAGTATCACTGTCATTTCTCTTCCCGTGGGACCTGAGGTAAGAGAAATAAGTAGGACTCTGCTTGAGTTGGGTGTGTAAGTGATGGAAAATTCCTTTACTTTTAAGCTCCAGAACACGGCCTCAAGAGTGCTGTGTCCCATGAAGGTTATTGATGTCAGTGGGTTCCTCTCTACTGTGGGCAGAATACAAAAGAACAAACACCATTATGTGCTTTTAACTCAGTTTCCAAAAGAGTTCATATATTATCCTTTAGCACTGTCCTCCCGTTGTTCATCGATTTGCTCGAGTGGGCCCAGCAACGTCTCCTTCAACTTGTTGTTACTGTATTTAGTATATCGAATACGTCACGGGTAGCTTGCCAAGCTTTGCCGTGCGGGCAAGATACTCTCAGTAGCTTGCCTGGCTCACTGAGAGTGGTGGAGGAATTGAACTTGGGTCGGCCAGGTCGGCCTCATGCAAGGCAAATGCCCTACTCACTGTGCTATCGCTCCAGCCCCATATTATCCTATGGTAGACAAATAAACATTTTTTTTTGGTCAGACAACATTTTCATGCATTGTCAAAAGGCCCTTACCTGAGGCGTCACTTTGCAGGATCCAATAGAAGCAGAGACTCAGGAAACACCACAGAAATCCCATCCTATCAACATAAATACAAGAGAGAGTACTATTACTAGAAGGTACTTAAATAATATTTACTACTCATCCATGCTGGATATTGATTACTGTTTGAAGAATTTCATAGCATTAGAATTAAAATTATTGGAACAATAAGTTAAAAAAAGGAAACAGACATACCATATAAATAATATAACCAAATGTGTACACCCCCAAATTAGCAGAATATTGACAAAACTCCAATAGTTTGGCTCTATATTTGTATTAATCATGGAGTAATAGTTTCCTACTTTAAATATTTACATACCATGCACAAATAACATAAATGTATATTCTCCGGAGTTTCCTGCAGCAGTCCCATTTCTGACAAGTTTAATATGCTTAGCTCGTGTTGCATTCTCTTACTTTATTCCCAGTTGAAAGTATTAATGACCATGTACTTTTCTTAGTGACAAACAGAAATCCTAGACCCCTGAATTCACACTGGTCTGCAGTCACCATAGTCTGAATTTATATTAATTTAGATACATAAGCATTGGCTTGCTGTGTGCAATGTGCCTTGCTGTGTCCACTTTCCTCACTGCAGAAGTTTCATTAAAAAATAATAAAACTGGAGTCCAGTGTCTGTGATCTTTAGCCTTTCCATTGATAACCTGCTGAAACAGCCAACTAGCTAGAATCTCGCCCTTACATTTGGTTGTGTGATCTTTAATGCAAAAGGTTTGGGGATTTAACAACTCTGTAGAATGTTTCTTTTCCTCTCACCCTTGAGATATCTTTTGGCTCCTGATGAAAGTTCTGTAGGGCTATAAATACTGAACTTGGATATACTGAGAAACTCTACACTCAAGACCTCTGCTTTGTGTTTTGAAAATACAAGGTTATGCTCAAAGGTCTTGGAAGTTTTCCAGATCAGATTTTCAGTAAATGGCAGGGATAGGATTTTTATCTATATCCAGCTAACTAGAAGTCCATTTTCTAAAACCTTAGCCTATGCCAAAATTTCACAACAACCCATCAATTTAAAAAGTGCAGAGGTAGTTGATAAACAGGGTGGCCATATAATCACACTTAAGATAAAACATTTTGGGGTCGAAATAATAATACAGTAGTAGGGCACTTGCCCTGCATGTAGCCCCCAACCCCCACCCCTAGGATTTGATCTCTGGCATTCCATATGGTCTTCAGATAATCATCAGGAGTAATTCATGATGACAGAACCAGGAGAAATCCCTGTGCACTGCCAGTGTGGCCCCAAACCAAAGTAAAAAATATAAAATAAAATGGAACACTTTCAGGAGAGCTGCAATAAAATAAAACGTAAAAACCAGTTCTGTCCAGGCAACCCAGAGTTCATGGTCACTTAAAAGGAATATGCAAATTTCTTTCTAACCCATTACCTCTCTTGACTATGGATCACTAAAAACTGCTGTGTTTGAGTTATGTTTCCATCATTAGCATAATTATACACAAATAATAGGTGAATGTATTAAATGCTGAACAATCATTTTTAATCTCATAGATTAAATACCTCACTTTTCCGACCACTAAATCCTTCATATTTTTATCCTGTTACCTTAAGAAATCTCATCTATCAGTCATTCAGTTTTTAGTATGAGTTTAGTATGAGTTGAGCAGTCATTCTATACACAATGTCCAAGAGGAGGGCAAGGGGGGAGAGAGACAGAGACAGAGACAGGGTAAGAGACAGAGACAGAGACTGAGACAGAGAAGAAAAACATCTTGATTCCCCTTTTGAAAATAACATGCCTGATTCCCCTTTTGAAAATAACATGCAAAGAAAGAATATGTTTAATGATGGACTCTTCCTTTTTCATCTAGAAGCAGTATCACAAATTCATTATTATTTGTTTTTATAAGCACTCTAAGTATTGTGTGTGTGCGTGTACACACATTCATACATAAACACACACACACACACACACACACACAGCTTTCTCTATTCTTCGCTAAAGTTTGGAAGACAGATAGAGGTAGGCAAGGGATGAGGGATGGGTGGTGATGGAAGGGACCCAAGGAACATTGCACTGGGAAATGTACACTGGTGGAAGAATAGGTGTTGGAAGACGGTATGACTGAAATCTAACCAGGAACAGCTTTGTAAGGGTCTATCTCACAGTGATTCAATAAAAAAGTTTAAAAAAATATGAATTGGGCACTTTATGTTAATGAGTGAGTCTGATTTCAGAGATCTCTGATAAGCACAGGGCAGGGTATGCCTGAGTAGAGAAGACGAACCGCACTCAAACTACTTCATCAACTGTGAGCAAGACACATTTAGAGTCACTATAAAATAGGTACAGGCTTATCAGATCAGAAGGGCTAGCACTGGGTAGAGATTAGAAGAAACTTACAGGACCAGAACAGGGAGAGTACTTGCCTTTTAGGCAGCCAGGCAAGGTTTGGTCCCCAGTATCCCATATTGGCCCCAAATCCCACCAGAGTGATTCTTGATCACATAGCCAGGAGTAAGTCCTGAGCACTGCTGGGATTGGCTCCCCACTTGCCCTCTCTAAAAAAAAAAACAAATAGAAGAGACTTAAAAAGTATACAAAGACAACTGCAATATAAAGCAAACTGATAAATAAATGCATACAGGAAAATTGTTATTAAAGATTAGCAAGAGAAGGATTACTCCACCAAATACAAAGCGAATTAAAACAAGAGGTAGCTTTTGAGCTGAGTGAAAAGTGTTTGGAAAATTTTGAACTGAGGCAAAAGGAAAGCAGAGGGCAAAGAAACTCAGTGGAGGAAAATGATGCTCAGAGATAGGGAAAGCATAGAACATAAATAGGAAATAGTCTATAAATAATTCAGTTTGGCTCAAGCACGGGGTGTTACAAAAAGAACTACAGGAGATTTTGTTGGGAAGCAAGAGTGTGAGGCTCAGAATATGGCAAGGCCTTAAATAGCAGGCTAAGGTCTTGAATTCAATTTAAATAGCAAGTATGGAACGACTGAAGGCGTCTTATTAAAGGAGTGATGTCCTCATCAAGTTGGTCTGATGGGGATCATTCTTCTAGGCACAAATTGTATAGATTGCCACTAATTTCTATGTTGGAATCATTTTGGCTCCTATGTCTGTCATCATCATTATTTTCCCTCTAGCTTTGTGTCATCTATAAACTTGATCGGCACCCCACCTATGACCTCATTTAAGTCATTAATAAAAAAAAATAATTCTGCATTAATCCTTATCAAGGGAGATCAGCCAGAGATTTCATTGTGAGCACAGTAATTTCAGCCCCAATACTCAGCTACGCTAAAGCTCTCTAGCCTCCCAAATTGCTTTACTCTTTAAACAAAAAAAAAAATCACACCTCTAGATTTTCCCAATTTGTCTGTGTATAAACTGCTGAATTCTTGTAGCAGCACACAGAAGACATTCTAATTAGTATGATTGAGGGCCTTAATTGATATTCTCTTGAGTAACTGGATTATGCCAGAGGCAACAAGAGTCAGGTCACCAGGCTAAGGCTAATATAAAGGTAACTTGTATGCACACATAAATCCAGGGTCAGCCCTGCCCTGTAATGAATTGGAAATAAGACAGACTGGAAAGAAAATGTGATTGTCTAGGCTGGTTTTGACAGTCTAAATGTACCAAGGTTAGTGGGAGGCAGCTGCTCTGAAACCTCTCAGAGAAGGCTGGTTCATTTAACACTGTCTTATAAAGTCGGCCTCAGAATTGCGTTATTGTGATTAGCAATATAACTTTGCTTGTTTCTTCGGGGCGGAGACAATGGCAGTAATGGAGAAACTTTCAGAAAGCAAAGGAATCTGACTGATTACACACAGTTTATTCTGGTCTGAATTAGTACCTAACTTTTGCCATGAAGCCGGGAAGATATAACAAGGGTTATAGCACATGCCTATGTTTGATTCCTGGAACCACATGTTCTTTGGAGTACAGCGGGGTACAGTCCTGGAGGTACCCAGCACCCCTTCAATGGTTCCCATCACAGCACAACATGAGTAGATGAGTAGCTCTGAATCCTTTCTTAGGCCCAAGCATTAAACTCCTGCTCAAATGTGTTTGGCGGGGGAGGGAGGCGGGGCAGAGAGGAGAGTAGAGGACCTAGCGCATCACTTGTATTAAAAAAAGAAGAAGAATTTGGGGCCAGAGCGATAGTTCAGAAGTTGGGGTGTTTGCTTTGCACGAGGTCAACCCGGGACCCATTCCCTGGCATCCCATATGGTCCCCTGAGCATCACCAGGGAGAAATTCCTGAGTGCGGAGCCAGAAGTAACCATGAGCATCACCAGGTATGACCCGGAAAGTAAACAAATAAGCAAATGAAGAAAGGAAGGAAGGAAGGGAGGGAGGGAGGAAGGGAGGAAGGAAGGAAGGAAGGAAGGAAGGAAGGAAGGAAGGAAGGAAGAGAGGGAGGGAGGGAGGGAGGGAGGGAGGGAGGGAGGGAGGAAGGGAGGGAGGGAGGGAGGAAGAGAGGAAGGGAGGGAGGAAGGGAGAGGGAGGGAGGGAGGGAGGGAGGGAGGAAGGGAGGGAGGGAGGGAGGGAGGGAGGGAGGGAGGAAGGGAGGGGAGAAGGAAGGAAGGGAGGGAGGGAAGGAGGGAGGGAGGGAAGAAGGGAGGGAGGAAGGAAGGAAGGAAGGAAGGAAGGAAGGAAGGAAGGAAGGAAGGAAGGGAGGGAGGGAAGAAGGAAGGGAGGAAGGGAGGGGAGAAGGAAGGATGGAAGGAACAGTTATGAATATAATAGATTCAACCTTGCTTTAAATAATTAGAATTTATGTGTAATAAATCCTCTGTCAGCCTTTTCTGCAAGAGTCATCAACAACTAATACTGCATACAAATCTTTCTATGCATGTATTCTATAGATTCTATAAGCTTCAGGATTCCTGGTCTGAGTCAGCCTGACCGGTGATTTCTTCTCCGAGCCAGCTGGTGAATGCTAAAGCTAGGATTGCTGCCACAGACTGCTGCTATCTCTGAACCACCATTTGCTCAACCTTCTGCTCAGCCGCACTTCACCAGTCTAGAGGA